GGGTAAGCAAAGCTTATCTGGGATTATTTACCTGGTGATAGAAACGGCTCTTTGAAAAGTCTTTCTACCACTGTGTCAACAGTACTGAGTTAAAATGTAAATTATTAACACATTCTTATACAAAAAGACACAGAAGGCCCATTAATGGTATATCATAGTTACCTACACGATATTATTTTCCAGTTGCTTAATATACTTACAAAGCATAAAGGCTATAACTGTCAAGGGAGGGAGGCCAGCAAAGATCGCGTTTGGCGTGCAGCTTTGCAGATTAGAAAGTAAATGGAATGGCTCATATTTCAAAGACTTTTCTCAGCACTTATTGTCCTCTTGCCCAAGGAATCTTGTAGGTTTAGGAAGAAAGATTCTTTCTGAGAACTGAAAAATCTCCTAGGGGCCAGACCCCATCCCAAAGCCAGGCCAGAAGTCCCTTTTCTGCCCCTTGGCGACTTTATAGAACTCGTGTTTCTCTAAGGCTGGTTGTCGCCTCCCCAGTGCGTGTGCTAATAATCAACCAGAGTTAAGTGTCACAGGAGCGGAACAGAATAGTCCAAGGACGTCATTGCCCCTCTCCAGTTGCTAGGCAACGCCTCCTTCGCGGAGATGGACAAAACAGGTTGGGGGAGATACCAGAAAAGAAGCCTTCTTATTCCAGGTCAGGCCCACTGCCCCCTGGAAGGGGACAAGACAGGGGAGCCTCTCTCGGGGCCACCCACTCAAGAGGCATCGTTGTCCCCTCTTCCCCTGCGTCCTCAATTCAATGGAAGAGAACTTGAAGCCCCTGGGTGCGGCTGGTGTGTGTTACCAAGTGTAATCCCGAGGGGAATTCTTCCATGCCCGCCGTCTCATCCTCCGCCATCAGCTGGTTACTGCCGGGATGGCCCGAGTGGGCGGTGACGGGCTCCATCAGTTTACTGGATTCCAACTGAGAAATATCGCTCAAACATGGGGAGGTTGGCGATCTCCCGATTCACTGACTGCGGGTTGCAGACATTTGCAGTGGCGGTCAACCAGGTGGGAGGCTGCTGCAACCCCTTTCCCAGGTTTTTACAGTCAGTTCATTGCACCGTCTAAAAGAGTCCCCAGAGCAGGAGGCAGGGCAGGAGATGGAAGATGTGATCAGCTTTTGGACAGACCGACACAGACCAGGTTTTGGACTCCATCAAGCTCTGCTGTGTATACACTGACTGCAGCCTGGGGCAGGGGTCTTTCCAGGTCCTTTCCACTTCCTTTGAAAAGTGGATATTTTCTCCTAGGAATCAGTCCAACAGAAATGCTTGCGCAGAGAGATGCGTGACGGTGTTTATGACCACATTGTAATAGCAACAACGGCCAAAAAAGGAGACTAGATGAAAGTGATTAATAGAGGAATGCCGTTATTTCTGCATATCTGTGTAATGAAATACTACTCAGGCATTAAGAAGAACGAGGTAGATCTATGTGTGTGGAGGTGGGCAGAAGCCCTTGATATTTTACCAAGAGGAGCAAATTGATTAAGTATAAGTACATTACAAAAAGGTGTGTGTGTCTGGATAGACATGTGTCTATTGTGAATGAATAATTTTGCCTTCCATATCAGTAAACAAAAGATGCTGTAGCCATCAAGCCATCACATTACAGCAGCTGGGATGGTGAGCCCTGAGGGAGCTCGGGATGGAGACCAACGGGTTGCCCACTGCCCACCCCTCAGCCAGGGAAGCCACCCGCAGCTGTGCACCCTGTGGGGGTTTGGGATGGAAAAAAACAGGAGACTGGTCCCAGAGAGCTGCAGTGCACATCAAAGGAATGATTTCAGTGAGCCCAGACTCTTGCATCTTCCCATACATAGAAAAGCGCTAAATTCCTTAACTTGAGATGTCTGATTTTCTTTAATTAACAGTAATCTTTTGATGTTCCAACTACCTGGTCTTTGCTGCAAAAAATCCTACATATCCTGGCTCCCCCCTCGCCTCCTCGGAGCTGTCGCTCAGCGTGGTCTGAGGTGCGGCGTCCCAGGCTTGAAGTATGCGGCATGTCCACCAAATAAAACATAATTCTCGACTTTCAAGTTGTGCATTTTTTCCAGTCAACTCTGTTAGACTGATGTAATATATATACTATGAGCATTTATACAAGTTTGAAATACTGAGCTGTAAACAGTGGTTAACTGATACCTATTCTATTCAATTTATTCTGATTGTCTTAAAAAAAGACATTTAAAGCTCTGGTTTTTTCAGATCAGAATCCAAACAGGGCTCACACAGAACACGTGGGTGTTGCTTCTCTTAAGTCCCTTCTGATTGACAGCAATTCCTACAGCGTGTGTTTGTTAAAGAAACTCAGTTATTTGTCCTGAAGAGTTTTCCACATTCTGGATTAGGTTGTTTGTGTCTTTAGATGTTCTTTAAAATAATCCTCCGTCTCCTGTATTTCTTGTAGAATGGGAGACCTGTGGGTAGGCTGAAATGCAGGTTCAACTCCTTTGGCGAGGATACTTCACAGGAGTTGTGTGCTTCCAAGTGTATGACATCAAAAGGCAGATGATGTCTGGGTGCCTCGGTTTGGGGGCTGCTGTCATCCCCGGGATGGCTGCTGTCAGTCTGTTCCCCGCCAGCCTTTCAGCTCGGTTTCAGCAGCCACTGAGAATCTGGGCTTCGATCTATCATGTCACTGGGCATTGCAAGATGGCGGTTATCTAAGTTTATCACCCCTTCTACATTTATAACCTGGAATTCTTCTATAAAGAACTTTCCTTCCACACCTATTTGGTTACCCTAAAATACTCTTTTTCCAGGAAAGTCCAGATACATGATGTATTCTGTCCTTTTAATCAATTTTCAGAATAATTTTTGGTGTCCTAGTAACCTCTATAGGTCTCTAATTATATACATACATGCTTATAAACGTATATATATACTCATATATTTTTATGTATATATTTATATGCATAAAATCTTGTGTATTTTATGCACTTAAGTATTTTTATATAATTGGTGTGTTTCACTCTACAGCAGGAGTTATTCTTTTGGAGGATGAAATTACTCCTTCTTCAGTGCACGTCAGTGGGGGCCCCTCCAGGTTGGCTCCTGTGTCCTGTTGTATAATCTCAGTCGGCTTGGAGAGCTTCCTTGCTTGGGGGCTCAAGGTGTCCCAGACTCGTTAAGCTCATTTCCTGCCCCAGTAGCCTACCTTTCTTTCAGGGAGCACCTGGTCCTTTTTAGTGGGAAATGATATTTAGCAACCGCATGCGAGATCCTGGGGCACTCATTGCTACAGGGCTGCCATTGCTTCCAGGTCCTTTGCTGCAGACAGAGGTGCCCAGATGTTAGGTTTATTAGGGAGCTCTCTCAGGATCAACATCTGTGGAGGGGAGGGTCTTTTGGAGCTGTCCTGAGCTGGGGCGCCAGCCCAGGTCTTTGTTATTCTGGACCAGTTATTAGATGTGAGTTTCCCTGAAAAGGCAGTCTGACCATGGTCAAGACTATCGCCTTCAGCTGAAGCAACTCCCAGAAAGTGATAAGCGATATGGAACAAATGCCTTCTAATTTTTCTAATTCTCTCTTCAGCTGTGTCTAATATTTTGTTTAACTGAGTTTTTAATTTCCATGACTTGACCTTTTATTTCTAGAAGTTCTATTTGTTTCTCCTGAAGTCTGTTTCTTTCTTCTATTTTAATAGACTATCACTCTGCTTTCATAATTCTCTCTTTTATTTCTTTAAATAAAAGTAAATAATTAAAACTAAATGTGTTTCCTCTTATGGTCACCATGCTGTACATTGCATCCCCAGGACTTATATGTTTTATAACTGGACGTTCTTACCTTTTGATCCCCTTTACCCATTTTGCCCACCCGTCTCCCCACCTCTGACAATCACCAATCTCTTCTCTGTATCTATGAGTTTTGTTTTTGCCTTAGATTCCACACAGAAGAGAGATCATACAGTATTTGTCTTTCTTTGTCTCACTTAGTTCACTACTCATAGTTATTCTAAACTTTCACTCTGACAGCTCCAACATCTGGGTCATTTTCAGTCTAGTTGTGTTGATTGCTTTGTCTGTTGACAATGGATTGATTTTTCCCAGCTTTTTTGTATATCTATTAGTTTTGTTGAATAACAGATATGTGTTAATTTAAATGGACATAAACAATGTTTCCTTCTGGGAATGGGTATGTCTCGTCTCTTCTTCTGTCAGGTCATCAGTGTGAGGGGAGGTTTGAATCTACTTGCTTTGACCTTGGATTGGGTTTTATTATTATTTGAGGACCTTCAGGGTACCAGCAACTTCAGATTCCTTGTGGGGACCTGTGCCTCCTGCTTAGGATAAGCGTTGGGGAGCAGAGTGATTTCACTCTGTCCTGTATTTTCAGCTGTCCTACATGCCTGGCACACAGAAGGGACCTCTGCACGCATCTGCCCTTCCCTGGTGGAGAACGACGCTGCTCAGGCATCTGTGCTGGCCAGGCTGGAGCCAGGGGGCAGGGAAGGGTCTCTGGTCCCGGCCCAGGGTCAGCCTTGGCAGGCCCTGCGTGCCTGGGGCTTGGGGATGAGACTTTCTCGGACTTCTGCCTCTTCTCCCTGGGATGGCCGGACCCCCTTTTGTGTGTGTGGTGGGTTTGTGTGAATGTTTCCAGCCCTCCCTGTATAGACATCCTTTAGGCACCAGGTGGGACCCTGCACCCAGGCCTGTTTCCTGTGCCCCACTCGGGGGTGGGGGAAATCCTTCCCCATCCACAATGTGAGTCTCGAGTGGTGGACGTGAGGACACACCTTCCCCCACCCTCCACCCACCAAGGACCTTCAGCTGAGCCATCGGGAAGACGGCTCTTTGAGGAGGGTCTTCCGTGCTTGTGATTTGGATATACTTTCAGGAAGGAAGCTTCAAAAATATGTGAAGCTAAAACAGGGGGACAGGCTGCATTGAGAGAGCACGGTTTATTTGGCTCACGTGGGGCGTGGTTTCCTGCTGGAGACAGAGGAGGACCCTGGGGACCAGGGCTTCCCAGGGGGCATGCGCCAGCTCACAGAAGGGCCCAGATCATCCTGCCTCCTCCTCGCCCGAGTTCAGAGGGTTGGCCGAGCGTGCCTGTCGTCTGCCACGTGCAGAACCTGGAGGCCCACCGAGGACTCGTGCCGGGAGGGGTACAGGTGCGACCCCGTCTGCGCTGGGAGCAGCTGGGAGGAGCCGCGTGATCGGAGGCCGGAAGGGATGCTACGGGGGCGGGTCTGCAGAGCAGGGTGGGGCGGGAGGGCTGGCGGCGCACAGGGGAACGGCAGGAGGAGGCCACGCTCACAGGCTTGTAGCTCACGGGTACACATACGGCAGGTTTGCGGCTCACGGGTACGTGTACAACTGGCTTGCAGCTCACGGGCATGCCGGTCGCCTGGCAGGGGCTGGACGTGCAGCAGGACGGCTGGCAGGAGCTGGGCACGCGGCAGGCAGCCTGGCAGCCCGAGGGGCAGCTGGTGTGGCACACGGTGGCGTGGGGCTGGGCTGGTGTCGGGAGGAGGGTGGTGATGTCTGCAGGCTGCCGCCCCGGGGGCCTTTATACCCGGGCTGTGGGCGTCCTAGTGACACAGAAGCACAGCTGTTGACTTCCTCGTGGCTGCTGTCATCGTGCTTCCCCAGCATCTTATTATCCTGGGACGCGCTTCCCTGTGCTGTTCTCCACCATAAATTAGTTTGGCTTTGAGGCCAGTTCCTCCTTCTGCAAACAGGATGTTCTGGTTTGCCTTCCCGCGGGGTTCGTGGTGTTTCTCCAGGCCATCTCTGTGCACAGAGCACCCCAGGATCCACTCAGAGTGCAGTACCCTTTTACTCCTTTTTATCTCATGCCGTCAATGAAGACTTTGAGGCCGTCATGTATTTTGAGTTTTTATTTCACACAGGAAAACATTGAAGCGGGAGTCTGCAAACTGCCGTCTGCGAGACAAGTCTGTCCTGCTGCTTGCGTGTGAATGAAGTTCTCTGGGGCACAGACACGTCCGTGCGTTTACTGTGTCTAAGGCTGCTTCTCCCCGACAGCGCTGAGTCGTTGTGAGTGAGACGGTATGGCTGCAAAGCCTCTGCCCTTTACAGAAAGTTTGCCAGCTCTGCCTTACGCCATCGCACAAGAGCTGATCTGTTCATGCAACAGATTATGCTCTGGGCAGGCAACAGAGACGTCCGGCCTCACGAGCTTTCCAGGGCGGTGAATAAATGGGAAATGAATGCATGGAATCATTCCGGGGGGCGCTGAGGCCTGGACAGGAAAGCAGGTTCAGCAGACAGAGAGAAGTGGGTGCTGGTGGGTGGTCTGGGGGCCTCGGGGAGGCGGTGATGCTGAACCGGCACTGGGTGCAGTAAAGGGTCAGGGACGGTGCTCCAGGCTGTGGCAGTCAAGGGGCTGTGAGGACCCTGCTGCAGAAACCAGCGTGTTCCAGGAGCAGCATGAGGTGCTAGGGAACGGGTGCAGAGGGACTGGCTCAGATCATGGATGGAAGACGAAAGATTCGGTGAGTTGAAGACACATCAGTAGAAAGAATCCAATCTGAAGAAGAGGCACAAAGAGTTAAGAAAAATGAAGAGGGCCTGTGAGACCATATCAGAAAGGCTAACACGCAAGGAATTTCAACCCAAGAAGGAGAAGAGAATGACATTGAAGCCTAAGAATATTTTGAGGAAATACTGGACAGAATCCCCAAATCTGATTTTAAAATATTCCAGTTTACAGATCCAAGAATCTCAGACCACCCCTAAGGTCCCAGAACCGTTAGGCACAATGGAAAGACCATGGATTCCAGAGTGAGGCTGGGCAGCCTCAATGCCTGCTTCTCTGTTTGCAGCGGTGAGAACGTGCACACGTCCTGGGATCCTTCCAGATCTTCCTGATTGAACATCTGTGCAGAGCCTGCCCTTGAATGGTGGCAGGATTGATAATTGATCAGTTACGAGAGAGTCCACGTAAAATGCTTAGCTCAGCTCGGGCACAAAGCTGGAACCCCGCCGTTACGATTATGGCCATAACGTGGGCACAGCCCCCAGTGAGGCGCCCGACCCTGAGGGAGAACCTTCTGGATCACTGAGTTTCCAAATCGCAAGGGGGGACGCTGGTGCGGTGAGTGTGACTCTGCTTCTGTGGACAAAGGACAGGGTGTTTACCTGGGGAGGGCCTTGAAAATCATGAAGTGGGGCCCCTGTCCCCAACTGACGGCCTTTCCCCATCCAACCCAGGCTCCGATTCCAGAAATCACAGGGCCACTGGGTCACCGTCAGCCTCCAGCTGAGAAGGAGCTTCCTGAACTGAGTCACTGCCACTGGAAACCCCAGGAAGAGACCCGAGTGGGGGACGAGGAGGAAAGACAACAGGCCGCCACGAGGAAGACACCCGGGTGCCTCGTGGCCAGGACGCCACAGCCCGGGTATGAAGGCTGCCCCAGGGAAGGAGCCTCCGGACCAGCCCTATCCTCTGCCCTGACCGCACCCAGCCCCACGCCACCGTGTGCCATGCCAGCTGCTCTGAGGGCTGCCAGCTGGCCTCCTGTGTGCCCAGCGTCTGCCATCCTTCTTGCCATGTGCCTGTGAGCCACGAGCCTGCTGTGTGTGTGCCTGTGAGCTGCAAGCCCGTTGTGTGTGTGGCCCCCTCCTGCCCTGCCCTGGGTGCCCGAGCGTGGGAAGGCGGCCTCTCGGCCGAGGGGCAAGCTCCCAGCGCTCAGCCCGAGGGACCCCACTCCGTCCCCCGAACTTACGAGATCAGTCCTCACCCTGCTCTGCGTGGATTGAGGGCAAGTCACTTACTTCCTGAACTGACCCCTTTTAGGTGAAAAGCTCTTCTGCTCAGCAGCTGATACGTGGCGCCCCGCGTCCCCCCACCCCGAGTCTAAATGGAAACGAGATGTTCCACTGGCAAGCAGGGCTCCTCTGCCTCCTGATGGGTGGGAAAGAGCCTCGAGGGGACCTTCCGTGGTCCCCCAGAGATGCCCACGGCCCGACCCCAAGACTGTGATGCGTCCCCTCACACGGCAAAGAGATTTTGCCGACGGGAGTAAAGTAAGGGTCTTGCGATGGGGGATGGTCCTGAGTCATCCGGGGGGGACTTGGGAGAGGGGCCGGGGAGACTCGGCCACAGAAGGGGAGGCCGCGGGAAGAGGGAAGCCAGACGCTAGGCCACGAGCTGAGGACGCGGTGCCTCCGGCTGAAAGACACGAGGATCACACTCTGCCCGGAGCCTGCGGCGAGAAGCTGGCAGCCCACATCGTGACTGTGGCCCGTGAGACTCACTCCGGATTTGGCGTCCACAGCTGTGGGGTGACACTGTGTGTTGTCTCAGCCACGTGTCCCTGGCGCTTGTTAGGGCAGCCGCAGGACAGTCCAGCTTCTTGACAGCACAGCCTCGGACTTCCACCCTCCCTCCGCGGTCCTGCCAGCTGCACCATCAGGGCCGTGGGCAGAGGTGGGGGGATGAAGGGAAGGAGGGGAGCCAGCTCCCCTCGCCCTGCTGTGCGGCCTTGGAGCCATTCTTCCTCGGGGGCCCTTCCTGCTGGGCGATAGGACCCTCAGCCCCCAGCGGGGGAGGAAGCCCCTCCAGCGGGTCCTTGCCCTTCTCTGGCGCTCGCTGTAGCTGATGATGTCTCTGCCCAGGTCTGTCCCGCTCCAGGCTCTCTCCCCTGGCCTGAGCCGGCCCTGTCCTCTCTCCCACGTGTGGGGACTCTCAGGCCACCCTGCCCCTGAGCGTCCAGCGCAGATTCTGGGCACCTTGGCAGCGGGCAGTGGTGGGCCTCCCTGCAGGGGACTCTGCCACGCTCCTGGTGACCCCCTGGGAGCCCCTCCTTTGCCTGCAGAGGACAGTCCCTCCTCCTCAGGAGGGTGAGGGGACACGGCACATCTTTCTCCAGGGATGGCTCTTGACCCCGGCAGGCGCAGGCCTGGACCCGTGACACATAGACCCCCTCCTGGCTTCTCCACCCTGTCTAGGGGGCTGGAGTTGGGGAGGGGCTGGGGTAATGTCCAGGGATGCAAAGTACACAGACTGGGTACTGTCTTTTTTTATTGTTTTTTCTTTCATAATTTAAATTTTGCTGGTTGTTTTGAGGCTCAGCACACAAACATTTCAATTTGTAGACAATTCTTAACGTATGTACCAAAAATCTAAAACATCATGTCGTTGTGATTCTTTTCTGAACAGTTATTCCAGTGACTTTCCAGCTTGAAATCGGGAGGCAATGTTCCTTGACGGGATATCAAGTACCAATAGCTTCAAATATTGATATGCTGTGACATCGCAAGTCCCACTATTTCACAATTTTTTATTTTTTTATTTTTGTTAGTTTCTGCTTTATAACAAAGTGAATCAGTTATACATATACACATGTTCCCATATCTCTTCCCTCTTGCGTCTCCCTCCCACCCTCCCTATCCCACCCCTCCACGGGGTCACAAAGCACCGAGCTGATCTCCCTGTGCTATGCGGCTGTTTCCCACTAGCTATCTACCTTACGTTTGGTCCACTAATTCACAGTTTAATATCACATACACTACATACTCAAATTGTCAATCATTCACAGCACATTAACAAAGTTACTAGAAGAACTGGACTGCCACGACCAAAGATGTTACAGAGTGCACAAAACTCTGCCCAGGAGAGCCAAGATCAAGGGATGAGTGGTTTGCTTTAGGAAACAACTCTACCAGAAACAACGTGAGAAGAGAGGTAATTTAAAGTGTTCAAGACATTTAATGCGCAACTGACTCCAAACTGCCACGTAGCATGCTTTGTATTATAGGATATAAAAGCTACCCCCCATCTGTGGAATGTTAAGCTGACACCCAAGACAGTCAAAGCCTCCCATATTCAATACCCCACTATTTTCTCATTGTACCAAAAAATAAACAGCAAGTGGTTTCACCCCTTAAAAAAAGACATTCACCTTCCTTCCGCGCCGACAGTGCTCTCTCAGACATGGTGAGCATTTCTAAAACCCACCGGCCCCACAAAGAGACACAGCACGAGGGCAAGGATTCTCTGTGTGCCCAGGGACAGCGGCGTCCTGACAGAAGCAGAGTGGCTATGGTGGGCAGACCGAGCCGATTTTCCGGAAAAAGGCTGAAACTACAAAGAAGATTGTGCTGAGGCTTGAATGCGTTGAGCCCAACTGCAGATAAGAGAATGCTGGCTCTTAAGAGGTGCAGGCATTCTGAACTGGGAAGAGATAAGAAGAGAAAGGGCCAAGGGATCCAGTTCTCAGCTTCATATTTTGTTTTATTATGAAGACAATAAAAACTTGAGACTGTTTACTTCATTTAGCTTCAATTTTTTTTTTTTTTTTTTTTTGCAGTACGTGGGCCTCTCACTGTTGTGGCCTCTCCCGTTGCGGAGCACAGGCTCCGGACGTGCAGGCTCAGCGGCCATGGCTCACGGGCCCAGCCGCTCCGAGGCATGTGGGATCTTCCTGGACTGGGGCACGAACCCGCGTCTCCTGCATCGGCAGGCAGACTCTCAACCACTGCGCCACCAGGGAAGCCCTCAACTGGTTTTTTTGGAAGGGCAATAAACTAGTGCCATCCATACAATTCTCCTTGGGAAACTAAAAAAAAAAAAGCATTTACTCTTAAAAAAAGTGGGATGAGGTAGGATTCCCTCCTTTTTAAGAAATGTTTCTAGAGCTACTAAAAAACTTGCACTTACAAAATAGTTGATAAAAATATTCCTCTGGATTGTACAAGAAGGGAGACAGGGACCACTGATAGGACGGGGTGTGTGTGATATTAACCAGACTCGGCTTCTTTCTCTCCTCCTTCATCAGAGGGCAGGCTGTCCTCGTTTTTAGTTTCTCCGTTTTCTGCAGGTAAGTCTCCTTTAGTCTCTTGGTTAGCCACTTCAGCCTGCTTTCCTTTTGCTCCCCTTTTCCCTTTTGTTTGCACTTTTTTTGGCTGAAGATATGTTCTTTCCAGCCACTTTTTTGACTTTGTTTCACTTTTGCAGGAGGCGTTTTAGCTGACAACCCCGCCGATCTCCTCTTGGGCTCCTGCTTCACCACTGCCTCAGGGGAGCTGACCTTCCTCGTGGGCATCATGGCTGCAGGGCCAGCGCATGCCGGGTGCCTGCGGGCTGTGGTGCAGGGGGAGCCTCTGCAAAGCTGGGCTGCCTGGCCGCTGCCAGGGTACTGTCTTAAACAGCACACATGTATGGTCTCCCGGTGTGGAGGCCAGAATTGGAGATCAGGGTGTGGGCAGGGCTGGTCCCTGCCCAGGGCAGCGAGGGAGAATCCATTCCCTCTTCCGGCTCCTGGCGTTTGTTTGCTGGCGTCTCTGGGGTTCCTCAGCTCGTACAGGCATCACCCCGATCTCTGCCTTCACCCTCACAACATCTTCCCTCTGCTCTCGCCTCTGTGTCCAGAGTTTCCTTTTTTTTTTTTTGATAAAGACACCTCCATATGTCTTTGGATTAGGGCGTACCCCACTGGCCTCATTTTAATATGATCACATCTGTAAGGACATCGTTTCCAACTAAGGTCACATTCAGAGGTATTGGGAGTTAGGACTTCAACATATCTTTGTGGGGGGACACAGTTCAACCCACCAGAGGGGCAGCTCAAAGCTGCAAGACGAGTCCAGCCCCTCCTTCATGCACCCGCGTGGCCGCGCCGCCATTCCCCTTGTCCTGTGACATCTGACCTCTTGTTCCTGAGGAACCAGGAGAGTCCAATTTGAGAATCCCGCCTCACTTGACACCTGACGAGCTCACTGTGCACAGAGGCCCCGCTCGTGTCTGGAATCACGGCAATTATGGGAGGAAGGCGCAGGCCTGCATGTGGGATGGCCCAGAAAGTGCCGGCTCAGCCTCCGTGGTGTGAACGCGGGCCCCTCAGGAGCAAGGACACTGGGGCCATCCCGGGGAGGGCGTTGAGGGGATGCCCAGAGAAGGCACCATCCCCAAGAAGCTCTTGCCACAGTAGGGTGCCGGCGGGGAGCTTTTTGGGAACGAAGAAATAGTCCAAGGAGTACCTTCAGGGCATCCTTCCTGTTGGAAGGCCCATATCTAGAAACTTCCAACACTGTGATGTCACATGATCATGAGGGTGTGAAGTGCAGAAGGAATTCTTAGAGTACCCACTACTCCAGCACTTTCTCACCAGGCTTGCTTTCAAACCAAACCTCCCTGCCAGGCCTGTTTATTTTCACCTGTATCCAAGCCAGGCCATTTTATGTCACCTCCTGGCCTTTCCGACACCCTCCCGGACACCCCCAGGCTGTCCACCAGGCAGGGGAGAAGGGCTTCGCGGGTTGCTCTTGTTTCATGGGATGCCTTTGAGGGTGGTGACTGTCCGTGTCTCACTCACATGGATGACAGATGTGTCACGGTGACGGAGGAGCTCTCCTGAGACCTGGAGGCTCTCAGAGGATTTAGAATTGTCGTTTTGTTACAAACATGTTCTAAACAAGCTCTCCAAGTAGAGACCTGGATGTCTCTAACCGAGTCTCTCCTTGCGGGCCTGCGCTGTGGCCTGACCGGCATGGACACCCACAGCGCCAGCAGTCAGCCTGTTTTCTGCTTGGTGTCACTTGGTGCACATGTGGCCACGTGTCCTGTCCCGTCAGGAACCCCGAAGACGCCCTGCTCATCCTTCTGATGGACGATTTAGTGTCCCTGTGGGTTGTGGGTTCTGGTTTCCACGTGTGTCAACATCCCTGTACTTCACTTTTCTTGGGTTGGGGTGAAGTGGAACCTTCTCTATGTCTTTTAACTCTTTGTGCTATGCAGAGTCCATCAGGGCCTTTGTCCATTGTCCATAAGGAGATGGTTATATTTTCTTAAAACTTGAATGAACAGGTAAAGGGTACAGGTCTTGAATAAACTGGGGCAAGAGATTTAAGAGCTGAGGCAGGTTGCAATCTGGCCATTTCCTGTTTAAAGATCCTCTTCGGGTTTTGCTCTGTCCCCTCTTCCCTGGATGGAGCTGAGCTGGGGTGGGGGCGGAGCCCCCTGGGAGGTGCCTTCAATTCCTGGTCCCTCCTGCCTGGTCTCCACTGTTCTGCTCCTACGGACCCCATCAGCCTGCTCGTGACTGGGGGATAAGTAGGGTGCCGGATGCTGACATCATCAGTCTGACCGCTGCCCATTTGACTCTAGAGCTAGTGGTTCACTGAGACTGCAGGCTCATCCTCCCTGCTGTCTTGAGGGTTTGTTCACAAGGTGTCTTTTTTGCTCTCTGCCTTCTCACTCAGGCCTTGAAATCTTGAGTAGAACGAGTGATGTCTGAACCGACCCTGCACTGCCCTTGGGGCCCACAGGAACTCAGTGGGGCCCCAGTATGCAGGCAGGCCTCCTCTGGGTGGGCACCTCCCTCCAACGGTGCTAGTCCTGGACTCTCAGATCCCGACCCAACAGGGTTTCTGCAGCTCCCCACGTACCTTTAACCTGCACAGGCAGGGGGATGGGCATGGGAGGAGCCCAGGGCCCGCTCAGGGTCTGAACCTTCTGCCCCCACGCCCGTCTCCCTTGCCGGCTTTGGGGAGGGTGGGCCCTGGGGTAGGAAGGGACACAGAGCATGCAGATGACACCCGCTTTCAGATCCTGAGGTCTTTCAGCTGCTTGAACTCGGATTTGAGACTATGTCTTTGAGGAGGACACAGTGTTTTATTGATGATAGCAGCTAACCTTTGTCACATGGGATTCAAGCTGCCCACCCGCAGAGGAGGCGCCCAGGGCCCGCAGTCCACCCTGGTCGAGGGGTCTGTGGGATGGACGGCAGGTTCAAATCCCTCTGGGCAACCACTGAGTGTCAAGCGATGGGAAGAGGGGAGGTCCTGGTGCCAGCAGAGGGGTAGGGGCTCCCGAGAGACAGCAGCTTGTGGGGGGCAGACGATCCAGCCGGTCAGCAGCAGGACGTACTCGAGGCGGGGACGCAGCCAGCGGGGCAGCAGGTGGGGCGGCAGAGCGGGGACACGGAGGAGGAGGGTCTGCGGCAGGACGAGGGGCAGGGGGTGGGCCGGCAGCACGAGGGGGCTGAGCAGGGGGCGGCCTCACAGCACACGGGCTCGCAGCACGCAGGTGTGCAGCAGACAGGTGTGCAGCAGACGGGCACACGGCAGGCCTGCTGGCAGGGGGAGCAGGTGCGGCAGGGGGCTGGCAGCTAGACTGCTGGCGGCACGAGGCCGTGCAGGGGCTGGTGCAGGCTGGTTGGCAGCAGGGTCTGGACACACAGCTCACTGGGGCGCAGACAAGGGTCAGGCAGGGGGCCGGGGCACAGCCGCTGGGGGCGCGGCAGAGGGGATCGCAGCAGCTCTCTGGGCAGTCGTCCACCTGCCAGCAGGAGCCGGTGCAGGAACCGGGCAGGCAGAGCCGCTGCCATAGCTCTGGGCGCTGGAGCACACGGACAGGGTGGACGCGGCCATGGTGGGGCAGGGGGGCTGAAGGAGGGTGTGAGTGTGTGTGAGGTGCTGGGGATATCTGCTTTTATCCCCCCCACCCCAGGGTGTGCGCGTGGCCCCAGCAGAAGGCTCCCATGCCTGCCCTTCCTTGTTGATGTTTGGAGCTGTTGCACGAGCCCCTCATCAGGGCTGCTGCGTTTTCTACAATCAGTTTCTACTCAGTAAACTTGTGAGTATGTTGCAAGAATCTGTTTTCTCATCTGTTCTTTGGCTCCAGAAAGCTTGTAGGGAGTATACGACGCAAATTTCTGCTGAGTGGCTGTCTCCATTCTTAAGTCACATCCAGGTATGGGCTGGGCGTGAGATAAACTCCCAGCCACTGGCAGCCCCTCCCTCACACCAGCTGTGCCAGTGTGAGAACACAACAGGGAAAGATGCCCAGCACTACTGCAGCCCAAACTGTAAAGCACCTAAGAGGAATGTTAGGAAATTAAGTTGTGAACGAAATAGTAAACTTTACCGAAGAACACACACATCCTGTGTCCCCTGGGACCCGAGAGAGTTGTGGGCAGGAAACTGGAGACTGTGGAATCCCCACTCTCCCTGGATGGATCCGTCGCTGATGTGATTTCAATCAGAACCCAAAAGGAACCTTTTTGGTACAAAGTGAAGATATTGAACCACCAGAAAACACCTGCAATATAAAATTTTAAAGTCTTTACAAATAAAACAGAAGTAGATTTGATGGCTGTATGATAATGCTGTGTGAAACTTTTGAGGAACTGCTAGACTATTTTCCGTAGCAGCTGTACCAGTTTACATTTCTACTGGTAATGTACAAGGATTCCAATTTCTTCACATGCTCCTTGATATTTCTTTTCTGTTTGTTTGTTTGTTATTCGTTTGTTTTAAATTATAGCCACCCTAGTGGGCATGAAGTGGCATCTCCCTAATGACCAGGGACACTGGGCTTCCTTTCTTGTGCCTGTTGGTATATCCTCTTTCGACAAATGTCAGTGAAAGTGCTTTGCCCATTTTAAATTGGATTGTTTGTCTTTCTGTTGTTGAGTTATAGGAGTTTTTAATGTATTCTGGTTACTAGGCCCTTATCAGAATTATGATTTGCAAATATTTCCCCTCAGTCTATGGGCCGTCTTTTCACTCTCTTGATAGTGTCGTTTGATACATAGACTTTTTATTATTAGTATTTTGAAAATTTATTTATTTATGGGGTTGACCAAAAAGTTTGTTCAGGTTTTTCTGTAAGATGGTATAGCACAGCCCGTATGAACTTTTTGGCCAGCCCGATATTTTTTGGCTGTGCCCCGCGGCAGGTGAGGTGTTAGTTCCCTGAACAGGGCTCGAACCCACACCCCCTGCATTGGAAGCATGGAGTCCTAACCACTGGACCGCCAGGGAAGTCTCATAGACTTTTTAAGTTTTATGAAATCCATAAGTTGAATGCTCGGTTAAGCTGCCCCAGCAAACACAGCACATCTGTCACAGCAGCTGCAACTGGGGCTACTCCCTGGTTGAGCCTGCAGCTGTCCACTGTCATTTCCCAGGACCCAACTGGTTTTTGCAGGCTCTCGACTGGCGAATGGAGATATTCCAAGAACCGCCCCCACATCCTTTAGTCTTTAAAGCAGCACTAATTTCTGCCACTGCTCCCAGGTTGCAATGCTGATTTTGAATCCCTATCCTGACTTGGGGTGGGGGAGGAAAGCAGTTTCAGAAGCTCACCTTTCTTAATATGATAATTCCTTCCAAAGCCTGGAAATGAATGTTGGAGTTGTTTTAAACACCGAGGACATCCATTCCAATTATACCTCCAGGGACACAGGAGTGGCCAATGGGTTGGTTTGTGGGCCCAGTGGACCCGCTCTGAGCTGGATGTTGCCAGGACTCCACTAAGGACCTCCCTTCCCTCTCTCTCATGTCGACGGCCCATAATGATGTTTCAGGAGTGAACTCTGCGCTCAACCATCCTTCCCCTTCCCCAGTATTGCTGCATGAGCAAATGCTGGTGCGGGGGAAGGACTGGGATAATTATTACTACGTGCACTTGTCTTGATCGAAAGATTCTTCTTTCTGGGGTGGGAGCATTGACATCAGGGAAATTGGGAAACACTGCAAATCACGACCTTTTTTTGGAAGGCTAGTTTCCCAACATATCACTCGCCTACTCTTCAAAAACCTGTAAAAACAAACCAAAATACCCCCCGCCCCCCAAATAACAGAAATCTAAGCTGGTTGGTCAGGAAGGGGAGGACAATGACCCCAGTAGCAAGTTTGGTCCCTCTCCCAGCTCCTGGATCTGAGCCAGTCCTCAGACAGGCACACCTTGATCATGTCCGGTACAAAGTTACCAGTAGTTTAACAACCAGCTTGCGACATTCCTGAATATTTACTACTTGCCTCTTGCAATGTGGTACAAGTCAGCTCCAGGCGGCTCCAGCGTGATTGCCGCCACTAAGCTAATTGGCTGCCCATCACGTTCCCCATGGGAATCTGTGTTCTAAGAACCACCTTCAATAACTCCCCGCAAGATGCCTTCACAGAGGTCTGGCTTTCATTCCAGTCCCTTCCACCTGTTTTTTTAATTCCCCCTATGGGTAATGGTTTATTGAGTTTTGATTTATTTTTCCATTTAAAAAAAATGTAGCTAAAAATCTGTTTGTTTATTCTCCTTTCTTACAAAAAGGTAGCATGTTATACACCCTGGTCTGCACTTTCATTTTTCCCTTACTGATACCTCCTGGAGAGCACACTGTAGCAGGGTTTCAAGACCTTCCTTACTCCCCTTTACAGCTGCATAGCACTCCATATATGAAAGTAACACCGTTTATTGCTGGAGAATTGTTTTTCCTCCTGTATTTTGCTATTCTGAGTAACGCCGCAATGAATAGATATCACTTATAATTTTGCCAGTGTATCTTTGGGATACCTTTCTAGCATTTTATTGTTTATCACTGGATGGACATGAAATTTTGCTAGACCCTGTCAAGTTGCCCTCTGTATTGGGTAGTTCCGTTGTGCACTCCCACGAGTAGTGTGTGAGAATGCCTATTTTGTAGTTTTTCCAACCGCATGTGTCATCAAGCTTTCGACTTTTTGTCATTCCGATAGCTAGGAAATAGTATCTTTTGTGGTTTTGAAAATATTACCTTTCTCTTAATATGAGTTTGAGCATCTTTTTCAAGGTCATTTGCATTTCATTTTCTGTGAGCTGCTGTTCATATCTCCAGCCCGTTTAAAATATTGATGTCTTGGTGTTTTTCTTCCCTGATTTTTGGCAGCTCTGATATTAGTGATATAGCACGTGTTCTGTGGTACAAGTTGTAAATATTTTTTCTGACTTGTTTTTTGTCTCATACTTTCCTTATGGTATTGTTTTATCACTCTACCATCTATCTATCTATCTTCTATGTATCTATCTATCATCTATCTATATCTTTCTATTTTAATGTAGAACAAAGGGAAAAAAAGGTAGTTGAAAAATTCCACAGCTCACTGATGGTCCTGTTTTTCCCATTTTGATTCAAGTTTCTTTACTGTGCAATCCAATCCTTTGCTCAGCAGCTGGCTGTAGCAAAAAAAAAGTGAAAAAAAAATGCTCATTGAAAGGATAAATGATTTATTCAGAGTCAGAGAGCCTGTTTCTAGCCCCCAGTAGTGTCGCCTCAGAGACCTCCGTCGTCTTCGCCTGTACAAGGGGAATGATGCCTTTGGGCCGACCCCACTGCAGCCGTGCCCAGGTGCTCTCCAGCCCCATTCCCCACACCTGCGAACCTCCTGGCTTCCTTGTGGGGTTGCTTGGAACAGCCGTCATCCGCAGGTCTCCTTGGAGGATTGCCTAAGGAGCCACTTTGCCACACATCTTTGTGAGTCCGCAGTGCCTGGGGATTTGTACCCACCCAGGCTCCCAGACCAGGCTGACAGGGGCGCACCCAGCTTCTTTCTCTGAGATGTGTCGTACGCTCAGTGCCCCTGTGAGATCAGGCTGGGGCTTGACCTTCTTCTGGCCCCTGAGCTGGTTGTCCCAGCTCTTTACCAGGCTCTCCTGGGAGTACTTCCGGAGTACACGACGTGTGCTCCTGGGGAAACTGCGTCACCTGTGGGGCGTGATGGGCGAGATGTGATAGTGTGTGAAGAGCCCATGCACAGGTGAGTGGTCATCCTCACCATCACACCTGAGCTGCAGTCAGTCTGACTGGCTCCCCGGCACCCGCTGCCCCTGCCTATACCCGCCCCACCCTGACCCCACCCTGACCTTCTCCCTATGCATTTGCTCCGAGGATTTTCCATGATGTCACTTCCTGGCCTCTCCTTGCAGCTACAGCGTCACTCTTCAGGGCCCAGATAACGTCACCTCCTTTTCGAATCCTTCCTCGATCTGACTCAGCACCCGCTGGAACTTCTCCCTTCTGAACTCCCATGGTGTGTGTCATCTATACCGAACTGCATAGTTCGTACTTACTGTGTCAGTTTTTAAATTTATTTCAGGTATATATATGATGGTACACATTAAGTCAAGATAAATAACTATACTTCCTTGACTCGAGGCCACATTTTAACATCTCTGAAATGGGGAGACATCTTCCAAATGATGGCATATCGTAGTTTATTTGGTAGCCGTTATTTTTGCTTAGATGTATATAAAATAATGGAGCATCTTATGTGGATGACATCTTGAGAAAATATGGCCTGTCTAGGATGTGTGTGTGTGTGTGTGTGTGTGTGTTCTTTAGTACTTTGCCTCAAATGGGCCCACTGTGAACATCAAACACCTTGTGATATGAAATTATCTGAAAGCCCCAAGCTAAATGAAGATGCCTAAATTATTATAGCCTTATAGATCTCTTTTTGAGTTTCAAAAGCAAAAAGAAGAGCCTTTTCTTCAAAGCCAAATGCATGCCCTTATTTCAAATAAAAAAGGAATAGCTCAATGGAGCAAGCATTGAGCACCTACTGTATGCAAGCCCCATGTCTGGAGCCAGAGATACAAAACTAACAGCCTGGCC